CATCTATTAACAAGATTACTAATTCCATTACTGTAAAATACTGTTGGCTTTGATTCGAAGAACTCACAAATGTCAGTTTTAACTTCTTCCTGTGTTACAAAAGCTGTTTCTTCCAAATGATTCTGTAAGCTACAAAACAAATGATAGTCTGAAGGAGCAAGATCGGTAGAATAAGGTGGATGAGGAATTTTCTCCCAACCAAGTTCTTCGATCTTTTGTGACGTGATTCTTGCTGTGTTGTGTCGCGCATTGTCCTGATGAAACATCACCTCTTTTCGATTCACTAGAGCAGGTCTTTTTTCCTCAAAGCTTGGTTCAAACGCTCTAATTGCTGACAGTATATTTGAGCATAAATTGTTACATTATGTGGTAAGAATTCAAAGTGGATTATTCCTTGGCGATCCCACCAGATTGAAAGAAGAACATTTTGCCCATGAAGGTCCCTTCTTGGCTGTGGCTCTACCAAGCTACTGTCTACGACGCTTAACGTTTCGATAAAAGATCCATTTTTCGTCGCCAGTCACAAGTCTATCCAAAAAAGGTGAAACAAGTTGGCGAGAATAGAGAGAAGAGCAGATGTCAACTCGGGATTTGAGGTTGTTTTTAGACAATTCATGAGGCACCCATTTTCCAAGTTTAGGAACTTTTCCAAGTTGTTGAAGTTGACGATGAACAGTTGCATGGTTTGAACTGAGAACCACTGACAATTCGTCAACTGATAAAGCAGGATTTTCTTCAAGGGCTGCTTCAAGAAGCTTTTCATCAAACTCAACTGGACGTCCGGTTCGATCTTCATCTTCAAGGGTGAAATCTCCACCTCTGAATTTTGCAAACCATCTTCTGCAAGTTATTTCATTCACACATTCCTCTCCATAAACTGAGTGAATGTTTCTAGCCGCTTCGGCTGCTGAGTTTCATTTCTTGAACTCATAAAGCATTATGTGCCTCAAATGATTCTTGGGTACTTCCATGTTAGCAGGGTTTTAATCAAAAAAAATTTAATTTTATTGTTCTCTGAAATAAAATTTGATCAGTTTAAATTCATCTAAACATAAAAATAATGTTCAGCTCCATTAGACATTATAAAATACTTTTTAAATTTTGTTCATTTTAACAAAAAGTTAAAATTCGGACAGAACTTATGGGATGACCTGATATATATAACTAAGAGAATGCCTCTGTTGATAACGTAACAATTACAAATGTTGTTTTAATCTTCAGGCGTATGGTTTAAAAGACTGTTCTAAAGATTCTCTGATTGTATGATAATCTTCAGTGAGTACCTGAAAAAAAATAAACTGGTCAAATATTTAAAAAAGATAAACAATGTGTGAAAAGAAAACATTTCAAACATTTTTGTTTGTAGCTCCTTTCGTAAATTTCCGTCCTGGGTATGACGATAAACTACATCCGCGTCCTGGTGTGACGTCGTCCCCCGGTCGCAGCGTCGACTGTGTCGTTCGATCCCGGTCGCGGCGCCAATTGTGACGTCACGTGCTCCCCAGGCTCTGATATCCTGGTCACGGACAGCACCAACTGTGACGTCTTTGCCGCGGCGTCAGCTGTTCGCTCCTCGCTGCTCCAAACGTGACGTTCTAACCCTTTGGTTAGATTGATACCAGCCTCGTCGTTCCCAACCCGCTTCCAACGCCTGGTTACCAGGGTAACTGCACTGATCTCCAGTCTGCCTACCCACGTTGTGAATTGATCTTAGACAGACGAGATCAAACAGGGGTTGGGGCCGTAATGCAAGTTGAGTCTAACGGGGGTGATAACACACAATTATGTATAAAAAAAAAAATAAAATAAAAACTCACAAGGTCCAAGGTATCAAAGAAAAAGGTAACAAACTTTTTATGTCTATTTGCTCGGTACATAGGACTATGTCTACTTCCCGACTCGTTCTGTGGATTGTGGCACGACGCTTTTACTAGGCAACTTTAAGGCTTCAAGTTGTCTGCTCTCTAAGAAATTTGTGTTTCGGTGTGTCTTTGGACGAAAGTCGAAAAAAAAAAACTTATTTCTGTGGTCTGATTCTAAGTCGCTCTTCAAACTACTTGTTCTTGGTTGAAGAAGTGTCCAGAAGTGTGCGTGAATCTTGGTCAGCTATCTTGACGCGGTTTCAACACTGGGCGCTCATCTCTGCTTGTCGTCCACGGCTCAAAACTCTTTCGCCGTCCGCTGCTCAAACTCTAACTCAAACTTCTTCTCTTGAGAGTCTGAATTACTGGTCACTCATCTCCGCCGTCGGTGCGCGAACTAACTTCTTCTCTTCGGCTTGGGTCGGACGAACTTCTTCACTTCGGCTTGGGTCGGACGAACTTCTTCACTTAGGTCAAACGAACTGGCCTCTCTTGCCCGCAAAGGGGCGAACGAACCTGGCCCGCCGTCCGCGGCTCAAACTGATTTCTGTCGGTTGGGGTTTCGCTTTTATTGACGCAGTCAAAACTGGGGTGGATCTGTCGGCGCCAGGGGTTTCTTCGATAATTCTAAATACGTATCCACCCTTCTTATTTCTGGTTAGGGATTTTCCATTTTCGGTAACTCACTCTCACTCCCACTTCCTTACTGTACCCCGCTTCTTCGTATCGGCTCCTTACACTTACACTTCTGACAGGGGCGTCGACCGATTCTCCAATGAGGTCCTGGTCGGGTATCTTTCCTCCTCCTTCGTGTGTCATGTGATCTTATTTAGCCAATGACGTCTTTAGTCGGGCGTGGACAATCCGTGGCTTTGTTTTGGGAAAGAAACACCTTGCTTAAAAAACAAAAATAAAGGAGGAGGAAAGATACCCGACCAGGACCTCATTGGAGAATCGGTCGACGCCCCTGTCAGAAGTGTAAGTGTAAGGAGCCTATGACCTGTTTTCATATTATTTTTTCTTTCTTTCTTCTTCGTTTTCTCTTTCCTTCTTCCAGGTCGCTTGAACGTAAAGAAAGAATTATTCATAAAACCCGAAATATTTTTCGGCCCTAAATAATTATTAAATGGTTGATAAACCGTAAAAAAAAACAAATCATATATCTATGAATATTTCTTTTCAGCTCGTCAGGTATGCATGGTGCCACCCTGGGTAAGACGATAAACTACGTCCAGCAGCAAGGCCTCACATCAGGTGGTTTTGAGGAGCGTGGAACTACCTCTTCATTGCTGGTGTTCCCATGTCCATCCTAACCCGGGATGGTAGCACTTGTTAGGGTCCCAGCTATGGGCAAATAGTTAACCCCGAAACTGGAGTAAAAATGCGTTTTAATACCAGGAATACTTTGTTGAAAAAAAATTATCAGCAATAAATTTTTGAAGAAAAAAAATATTACCAACTATACGTTACCAGCAATACATTTTTGAAGGAAAAATTTATTGCCAGAAAAAGATTTTTGACAAAACAAAATATTACCAGCAATAAAATCTTTGTCGGCATTAAATAACCCATTGAGGTTGATATGCCGTAAAACGCAACAAACCAAATCAAACCAAACCAAACCTATCGTATATTTCAAGAAATGAATTATAATTCTAATAATTCGAGATTAATAGTAGACAACATTCCATAACATTTGTGCTTCTATCAAAACCTATCAAATTCGGAAACCATGAAGTAGCTGTCAACGGCATTGGAACTCATATGTCATACTTCAAGAGCCTGTCGTTCATGGAGGTCGCATTACCGTTGACAAATATCACATAACTCAAGTTACTGTCAGAATTCTTTTTCTTCAATTCTCTACGCCATGTTTGTTTTACGATCTCGTAATAATAAAAAAAAATTCAAAAATAATCATTTAAGTAATTCCAAAACAGCAAATGTGCTTGATTTTTTATTTGTTTATTGAACGTCAGTTATGGGTCATTTGATGTCGAAATTAAATTTTCTTGGGAGATTTCAAGAATGAAAATATGATATACATTATTCTGCTTTCACAATTGAATACATGGTAGATAATACTCAGCTTTTGTGCATATACATGTTTGTGTGGACATAATTACTAGAGGCGGTGATATGTGTGTTTTATGTTGTAGTTTTGTTGAAGTTTTATTCTGGAATCCAGTTTGATTTCTTTTTGTAAAATGTTATATAGATTAATGTCTTGAAAGACTTTTTCATTTTGTTGTTTCGTTAGTCGATTGTGTTTATCGGCATATCATCTTCTATCGGTTATTTATTGCCTAAATCTAAATATTTTGAAGACATTTTTATGGCTTTTGTATGCCTTCAACTACAAATAAAAAATATTGTTGATCGTCTTTTACATATAAATGTGAATTGCCGGTATTTTGGTATCTGTCTATATTTCTGAGATGAGGTATTATGTACATTATTTACATTATTCGGACTATTGTCCTCATCTTTGTCAACATATTTATTACAACGTTTCGGCTGTTGAATGCTCCGGCCTTCTTCAGGTGGTTGGAATGTCGAACTGCCATCCATTAAACATGGCACGTGGAACTAGAACAGTCTACCCTAGTGAGCGAAATAAAGGGTTCAGGTTGACATTCCAACCACCTGTAGAAGGCCGGAGTGTACAACGGCCGAAACGTTGTAATAAATATGGTGACAAAGATGAGGACAATAGTCCGAATAATGTAAATAATGTGCCGGTATTTTACAATAAAAATGTATTTTTATACTTTCATAATGTCTTGTTTGGGGATTTACTATTTTCCCATAGCTGGAACCCTAACAGGTGTTACCACCCAGGGTCAAAGTTGACTTGGGAATAACAACAATTAAGACATGGTTCCACGATCCTCAAAACTTTCAATCTCCCGATTAGAAGCTGTGCTGCCGGTATAATTTACCTTTATAACCAGGACTCGGAACTTTGCCTACCTTTCTGACTCGATTGTAAAACCGGACTCACTTTTTGACTCGAGTGAAAAATAGAAACTCTGTCTACTTTCTTGATTCGAGTGTGAAACCGAGTCTTTGTCTAATTTTGATTTGAGATTAAAGTCGAAAATATATTGATCATTTGGACTCGAGTGCAAAACAGGCTTACGGCCACATTACGTTGAAACACCTGTTCCCGTACGATTACCGAAGTTAAACAACGTCGAACCAGGCTAATAACCAGATGGGTAACCACTTGGGAATACCATGTGCTGTATGCTTAGATGTGCGGTGCTGTAATGGATAATAAGTTCCAAGTTGTTATATTCTCTTATGCGCAAATACCGCTGGCATGAATACATCATTTCTCCTCCAAGCTATGGGTTAATTAGTAAGACTTGTTTCACGAAATATTTTCTGACTTTAAATAGCCTGCCAAATTTTGATAAACCGAAGAAAACGAATCAATCAACGAATCGAGTGTATAAACAAGAACCGTTTATTTTTTGACTTGGTTATATAACCGGGCTGATGTCTACCTTTCCGTCAATTCATTGTATGTTTCCCTACAGGATTTATATTCAAAATTGAACCGAATATCCGTTGAGCAGTGTGTTCAAAATATTGGCTAATCATATAATACTTCTTAACGATTGAAAGAACGTATTTTGGTTCGAGGGAATCATTTTTTCTGGTCATTTGAAATAGTGATAACAGAAGTTGAGCAACACTTTACGACGTCAATAAATTATATGCAAAATGATGTATTGCTACTTGGGAATAAAATAAAATGAAGCTATTCAGTACATTTTACAAGAACTGACGTCGTTTATTAAGTGTTGAGCTCTCGTTAAATTGACCAATCTAACCTTCTGGCCCAAGTGTTGTAAATAATAATACTTAAAAAAAAATATAATGCAAAAAAGCATTTGATTTTCTTTAACGGTATATCAACACCTCTATAGATTAATTAATGCCGAAATCTAAATATTTTTCACATAAGTTTATACTTTCAGGGTAAATGTATGTTGTTTTTTTTTTTTTAAATATATAGTTTGTAGCTGATGAAATGTAGTGTTAGTAATTTTGCTACAAAAATGTATTGCCGCTAATTTTACTATACAAATGTATTTTTATACACTTTTAGTACTGTATTGTTGGTCATTTTGCTATGAAAATGCCCTATTGATTTTGTTTGGGGTGTTCACTATTTGTCCATGGTTGGACCCTAAGAGGTGCTACCACCCGAATCAGGATGGTCCTGGGAACAAAAGCAGTTTAGAGATGCTCCCACGCTCCTCAAAACCACTCCTGATCAGAGGCCTTGCTGCCGGATGTAGTTTATCGTTATACCCAGAACGATATAATTATTGTCATCTAAAAATTTCTAAAATAATCAGGTCCATTTGTTCGGTTAGATACATTCTCTTCATTTCTTACATCCTGCATCGCGAAAATATTTCCTTCTTTATCGCATCTTAACAATACTGAGTCTCATACCAGTATAGGATAAAAGGAAATTGAGCACAGAATAGGTTGCGCTGGAGGTAGCTTTGCCCAACACCGCAAGTTGCTACAAAACCAAAAGTCATGTTCTTGAATAGCCTCATCAGATCGAGACTTTTATATGGATGTCATGCATGGCGACAAACTCGTTTAGAAATATCTAAACTGTCAGATGTGTACAACTGCTTTCTAGGATCAATGGTTAAAAAGGCTTTGAGCGATTGAAGCCTGAGGGTCTTCGCAAAGATCATCCTTCTTTGAATGTTGGGAACTAGCGCTACAGATTCAAAAAGAGCTTTACCAAGTAACAGAAACCACATCACTTGAGGACTACCAACAGCAGTAACAACTAAAATGGATAGAACATCTAAGTAGAAGAGAAAATAATGACACAATCAAGATTTTGACATTCAATGCTACTTTAAATAAAAGTTTAGGAAGGAAACCCCTATCAATTCGAGAAAGGTTGATAACAACTACTGAACATGAGAAAGCTATTTTCCTGTTTGAAGAAAAGATTTTATAAGTTTCAATCGAAAGCAGTACTGGCTGCTCCGTTGCAGGGAAACGACTATTATTATTACCATTATCATATCATGGGAAAGATGAGAACACCATTGAAAGCAATCGCAAAGAATGACTTGATTTGTTTCCATTGTCCTTAACAGACATTTAACGATTCGCTTCATAAACGCCAAGTTGCGCAACGGGAAAACAACCAATCAAAAATTAAATATATAAAAAAAAACAACCAATCACAATTTAAAAGTAGATTCCTTTGTTCGTTACCACGAGCGCCCGAAGACCGCTTTTTGTTCCTTTAACAAAAAGGATCAAGCGAGTTGATAGCACGTCATTTACAGGATGGAGCCCATAGAGACATTAATGTTCAAAGGATAACTTCCTGGTCGATGCATCTGTGGAGGTTTAATGTAATGTCTGCGTTAGGTCGGTTGTTTAAAACATTTCAAGCCTCGTTAGGTTAGTTAATGTGGAAATATGAATGGAGCACTCAGTAAGGATCAAAATCAGTATCCATTACTTTACATACTCGAGTTTATTTCCATGGTACAAAATTAAGCGCATGTTGCTTGAGGAACTTAAATAAATGGATACCGGGACAGGGTTTAGGATAAATAAAGAAAAGACAAAATATATGTGATGGATAAATTGTTGTCTAAATGACACAAAAATGAAAATAACACTAACATCTCATTTTAACAGATATATTTACCAAAATTACACAAAAATATCTTGAAGTACTAAAGAGTAAGGTTATTCAATAAAACCACCATTGTCTTCAAACGTGGCCTCCAGACGGCTTTCTACTCACCCTATTATACTGTGTAGTCGACAAAAACAAAAACAAGCAATGTGTGAAATATAAAATGGCGACAATTTACCCATCGCACACTGCATATATATATATATATATATATATATATATATATATATATATATATAAGCAAACACACACGCAAAAATAATTCCTGTTGCACAAGGTTGAATGTTTCTTGTATGTGAACAATATCCAAACAGACACAATACTTCGAATAATTTCTGTAAAGAGAGATGTGGCCTTCGTTTTAACCCTTTATCGTCTGTTCTAAGCGCAACTACTACAACCTTCGATGTTCCCGTTCTCAGTAGTAGTTGTAGTAGGAGTAGCGGTACTTAGATGCTAGCGGCGGTATTTCGCTTCTTCGCCCTCAGCTTCAGTAACACACAGCGGACGCTTACTTTTCAATCTCTGACGTCCTTCCACTCAGTTTGACTGCATTCGAAGACAGACGAACCCAAAACTCTCTTCCTCCTCCGTTTGGCTCGCCTCTTTATTAAGAGAACCGGCCTACGTTTCGCAGACTGGTGACGTATCTGTTTTTCTAGTGTGAACGAACTGACATACTACCAAAGTACAACTTCGCTCCTCCGAGAATAAACAATTTACTTTTTCATCTATTGGTTTCCAAGGTTCACAGCAAGATGCTATTATTTATCACCTCGCTATTAATTATTCTGCTTCTCTTTGTAAACTACAGAGATTCTTTTTTTAAAAATAAATTCTAGATCAATACATCTTTAATTTTAACTTCGATTCTTATAGTGTCAAAATCTATTTTTTTAAAGTTCCAAATTATTATTGTTCTAGTAATTTTCTATTATTAATTTGATATCCTTTGTACAATTACAAAAAGATTGTATTTCGTGTTCTAAATTAACTTTCTGTAACATTTACATTTCAAAGTCTTTACAGCATATTAACATCTTGGCTTTTCGAAAACTCCTCTCTTTCACTTGGTGTTTTCTATTGTACAGCGTATCTTCCTTTATTATCATTATTATTATTTCAGGGATGATATCACCCCTGCCACATAGTATTAGCCACTTTTAACTTTTCCTAAATATATAAATGATATACTCATAGAAATATATCCATTGTCAATGTTCAGAATAATGTATAAATAGATGTAAATTATAGTAAAATAATGTGTAAATATTTGTACAAGATTTCCAATTTTTACATTCTTAGCTATGTTACTGAAAATACGTTAATTGTTTTCTTTTCTTTTTAAAGTGGACAAAGTTATAATAATTTTATTCGATTTTTCAAATTTCATATTATTAAGAAGATTACTGAAATTCCACAAAAAGAAAAGCCCAAGTTGCAAATTACCAATTGTAGATACGAAAATCAAACAAGTACAACAATTTCATTATCTGGGAAATGTTTTAACAGAGGACAGAAAGTGTGGCACTTAAATCAGAAGACGTATTGGTATAGTGAAAGATGCTTTCCAAAAGCTAAGCAAAATATTAAGAAACGAGAAAATTTCGTTAAAAACAAAGAAAATATTACTGAACTTTTACGGAATACCTGTCCTTCTATATGGCAATTGGTTGATTCATTGACTCGTTTTTCACGACTTATCAACCCTTTGCAGGTTATTTCAAACTAGAAAATATTTTTTAGACTGTAAGAATGTTTTTTTGTAGATAATAATGATTTATTCATAAAAGTCTTACTAATTAACCCATAGCTAGGGGATGAAGAGGTGGATTCATACCCTTTCCAAGGGTATTTGCGCGTAAGAGAATATAACGAACCCAACGAGAACCGGAACTCGCCTCTCCGATTAAAAATTTCGAGCCATTATCCATTACACCATCCGCACATCCAAACTTACGGCACCTGGTATTCTCAAGTGTTCACTGATATGGGTACTGACCAAAGTCAACGTTGCTTAACTTCGGTGATTGTACAAAAACCGGTGTTTGAATGTTATGTGGCCGTAAGCCAAGTATGGCATTAAATACTGGCCAATTTCCTCTCAGATGAATAAGAGACTTGAAACAGCAGAAATATGGTTCTACAGAAGGATGCTGAGAATAACATGGATGGAACATGAGAGCAATGAGGAAGTATTAGAAAAAATGGAAGCAAAAAGTTATACTTAACTTTAGGAAGAGACAGCTAAAATATTTAATATATATAATGTGAAAAGACGCCTTGGGAAATTTGATGCCCTCAGTACAGATTGAAAGCAAAAAGGACTCAGGAAAAGATTGCATAACCTACCTAGAGAGCTTGAATAAATGGATGACATTTTTTTTTTTTTTTTTGCTATAAATATATTTTTGGACATATTGCTATAAAAATGTACTTTTGGTCATTTTATTACTGATGTTGTTTATCTTAATTAAAATTGGTGTTGTGTTTTATGTCGTCATGCAAACTATGATAATAATTTTTCTTTACTAGTTTCTGAGTCGGC